AGGCCCTATGATCCGAAGTTTGAATCTGGTCACTGACACCCGGCCTTAGGTGTCTTAGTTGTGGTTTGGGCCGCAATCGTACATATCTTCTTTAGGTTTACTGTGATTCAGGCTCCCACTTCAACTTATGGGACCAGTTTTAATGGTCAAACATTACGTTTATGTGAATACGGAGCTGACCCTTTGCATTGTTTAATACAGCATGAGGATTGCCAATCGATTTGATATTATCTAGTAATAAATTTTTAATAAAAAGTTCAAGCTCTCAAAATGAAGATCGTTTCAGTCGGATCACCGCTACACTACTATTTGCATACTCGGTTTGGGTTGCTAATGTGCGTGCCTAGGAGTGAGTCTCAGCCGTGTTTATCTACTGCTTTATTGATCAATGACTATGAGATAGAATGAATCTTTTGCAACAGATTATCTATTTTAGTGTTAGTTTCAGTCAAAAGTGTACGGTTTTTCGCACAAGCCAGATAAGAAAATTGTTAAATTAATGGTGGGCGATGTTATATTTTCATAATTTCATTCCCTTCCGAAATGTTTGAAATTCTTCTCATGATGAAAGCGATGTGATAAAATGCTACGCCAGACATGTCGTTTCGGAACTGAGATCAAAGTATAACATATAAACACTGAGTGAATCTAAATGACGGTATTAGGGCACCGACATCGGATCGCAACAATTACCTTCATCCTATCGACTGCAAATGTCGGTTACTCAGTCTTGGCATTTTTACTCAACCAAATTGCAAAAAAATATCACTGAATTATCGGACGTAACCACGGCAATCAAATCAGAATATGTCTATGCATAAAATATTTCACATTATCATGTTGGCCTTGAAAATTCTCATTGTGAAAAGTAATGTTTTCGGCCACGAATTTTCTTGGAGTTCTTCTTCCCCTCACGATTTTGATTATGCCAGTATTTTCGTCATAATCTTTCTTACTGCTATCTTTTCCATCTCTCTCTCTCGCACCCATCCAGGTGGTTCAAGAAAGGCGAACAACAACCAATCATGGTCTGGCCTCATCCATCCGGGGTGAACATTGGTCAGCCTCGACCACG